GCGGGGCCCGACATCGGATTGTCTAATGGCTCCGTAGGTTCGGTTATGCGAGATGCAACCACACCACAGCCCAAGTAACAACGAGAGCAAAATCGTTATCGGGGCCAAGTTCTTATCCCCTCTACAGCTGTATCAGGTGCAGGCGAAGATTCGACACAACAAAAGCAAGGACAAGGATTTTCAGCAAAAAGATAGACAACCAGGCATCGCATCCATACATCCATACATTCAATAATCATACATATAATGCAATCGAGACAGAAATCGCAAAGACAAGTGTGAGTAAAAACCCAAGTCGAGATTCCATAAAGCCGAGACGAAAACAAGAACGGGCAACCGCCCGGAGCCGCAATCAAAATGTATGTACACAGATGAAGAGGGGGAAGAGCCAAAGAAACAACAAATCCGCGTCCATCGACCTCAACTCTCTCTCTCTCTCTTCTCCGATGCGGACAGTCCGTCGTCACGCACCAACCCACGAAGTTGTCGCCCCGCTTAGTCCTCCCGCACCCGTCAGATCCGCCCGTGCCCACAGTCCGTCGTGGCCCACGTCAATCCCGCGCGTTCGGCACCAGCCCGTCGGGTCGCCCAACTCCTACTCTACTCACCTCTTACTTCGCTCGTGTGTCGACCCTTCCTGATCGCGCAACCCCGAGCTTCCAACAACGGGTTAAGAGAGCTGACTAATCGCGCAACCGGAATTTATAATGTGCATGTATGCGCGAAGAACACGAAATTACCAGGACTTAGAACGGGGATTAGAGAGGGAGCGCCTGCGTTTTGCATGATCAGGCCGCGGTGTGGGGGACGTAGCCCTTCTCCACACATCGATCCGAGCATGCAACCCGGGACTTACAAAAATCACAGCAAAAGAAAAGAGAGGGAGGGCAGGAGAGACGAAGTGCAAGAAGAAAGATACGGTTACAATGGCGCCCGCCCAAAATTACAGTTACACACACGATTAAGGGCGTCCGCTAATCAGAGTACCGTTGCAGACGCATGAAGAAGCGCGTAAACAAAAGGCGCCACGTGGCAAGGAAATCCTAATTATCGAATTCCTAAATTCCTATCTAATGCGGAAAAGCAAAAAGCACGAACTTCAGGGGGAAAGTCCGAAATTCCGAGAGCTATCGGGGCTCAACAAAATTCGAAAAAGACTCAAAAGAAAATTCAAAAAGAAGGAAGCAAAGTCCCGCGCGATGTCCGCGCCAAAAAGGTCGAAACCGAAACGAAGGAAACGACGTCAACATTTATTAATCGCGCGCGCGGGGCGCGCCAACCATCCATCTGACCAATCAATCAACCAGCCATCCCAGGACACACCCAGCTCCGAACCCAGTCATACGAAAAGAAGCGACGAAAAAGACGAAAAAGCAAGGGTACTGATGCAATTTTCCACTGATCCCCATCTCCCGTAATTGGCCTAACCTTCCCAGCTTAGGACCCCTCGTTGCGACCACGCAGAAAACCGCGCGTTACAGAAAGTGGTTCGTCACAGCGACCCTCCGTGC